ACAACCACAACCACAACCACCTACAGCCACTACATCCACCGCGACCCTACTCCCCGCCCGCGAGATGGGTCTACATAGCCCAAGATGGTGCCAACATCGCCCCAACCACAACCACAACCACTACAACCACAGCGACGACACCTACAACAACCAGGCAAGCGCGACAACCCATGCGACACCTCATGTTTACCACATGGCCGCGGCGACCCCCCCCTGCGTCCCCCCGCTGCCCCTAGCCTGGTAGACACCTGTTCCCAGTGATCTCCTTCGCCGCACCTCCCACGGGTCTTCTGGCTGGTAGACACCTGCTCCCAGTGATCTCCTTCGCCACGCCTTTCCACAGTCTGATTCCGCGACAAAAACGACCCAAACTTCCTCCTCAGAGCTGCTCTCTCGCTTCCAAACGTCCAAAAAACGACTCCAACTTCGTCCTCAGCGCTGCTCTCTCGGTCCCAAACGTCGCTTTCTGACGGTCTCTGCCAGAACCCGTTCTCGCACCTCCCACGGATCTTCTGGTTGGTAAACACCTCTTCCCAGTGATCTCCTTCGCCACAGCCGGATGTAGCAGAGTTCTCTGACGCGCTCCCCCATCATTTGGGGTCGGCGGATATGTACAAACAATATGTGTATATATATATACACACGTACAGGTACACACACACACATATATATATATACAGGTACACACACACACATATATATATATATATATATTTATTTACTTATTTATTCACAGGATTCCCTCCAGATTGCAACATAGCTGGGACACTTGAGCTTGGTTTTGGCTGCAATCTTCATGTGGAATCATGAGGATCTCTTAAGTTTGGGAGGAAGATGGATTGACTGAACCCACGTGGACTGGTCGCAATCAGAGGCCAAAGATCTCCAACCGGAGGCCGGTTAAACGATGGCGAAACAGCCGCGAGGGTCAGGGAGAGGAAGGATTGCAGACCCTTCCGCTGGAAATTCGGGCAGTCTGGGAGTTGGTGAAGCGTAGATCTAGTGCTGATCTATCACAGAGTGCTGATCTCCCGCATGTTGATATTCTGCTTTCTTCTTACATGTTTTGAAAAAAACAACAAACATGAGGAACTTCTTTGACATGCATTCCGACCTGGGCCAGGCATACAGACCATCAAGAGGTGGGCGAAGTCCTGGAAGATGCGCCACTGTGTTTTTGTTTTTTCAGTCAGGGTTTAGGGTTTCGAGAAACCCAAGAAGTTGGGTTTTTGCATTCCCCTCAGAGGGTGATCCGGATGCAGTTACACCTCCGCCGTGACGCCGACCGCACCGTGACCTCCAGGTGCCGGAAAAATGGAAAGTTGACTCTTCCTACCTTCAGGCAAAGCCAGGGGGCTGAACGAATGCGGAATCCAAGAGGTAAGCCTTGCGATTTGCCTGCTGTTCCAGATGTAAACGTAGCCCGGCGCCGGGAGGTTCGGCCAAGATCCCGACAAATCAGTGAGAGCAGTGGGCGTTGAGTCAAGCATCCAACGAATGGGTGCTTGCCTGATGGGTTTTGGCTTTGACCAGATACAAAGACACTTTCGGACCGCATACAGTTTGGGTGTGTTTGTGTGTTGACTCAGACTCCAAAAAAAGGCAGTTCAAGATGGTTAAATTTTCACCGCATGGCTGCTCTATGTCAATGTGGTGTTCTTTGCGGTCCTGAACCAATCCGCATGCTTGTGTGACCAGTCATTCCATGGCCATGTGTTACAGGTTCAACTCTGACCAGCACGGGGTTTGACATGGTAAGGGTGCAGACTACCATGGACTAGTTGGGGAGGTCCAACTCTTTACTGTGTCCGGTGCGTTACTTTATGACCTACGAGATTGATTTGAGAATGGAAGTCATGGTTACATTGGTGCGGATGTCTACAATCAACAGCAATAAAGGCAAGCTCCTTCAATCAAGGGAGTTGTGCGATGTTGTGCCAAGTGCTCAGAAAAGGGAAGTGCTGCTGACTGTGGGTAAACTTGGGTCATGACCAGACAGTGTGAGCAACATCCAAAAGGGTTTGTGCAAAAATCTGTGTGCGAGAGGAACTTTTGTATAGAAATCATGAGGGGACCCCGTAGAGCGATATAGTGAACAACCAAAAGCGATATCAACATATCGAGTTCTGCATTTACCCATAGGTTTTGGCGCTCGCTCTTGTCCAACCATTTGATTGCGAGCAATGCATGCAATGTTACGTTCAACCCGATTGGGATCAACGTAAAGGCCCCTTGAAGGCCTTTGTCAACACAGTTGCAGACAAAAACACAATATATACATATTTAATATATATACACTATACACACATACTCTTGCAGGGTTTGCCTCACTTCGACTGTGACGTCCGAAAGATGCAGGTTCAGAGCAACCTAAGGCAGTCTTAAAACAAACTATTAGTTGGAGGCCACCGCTTCTAGTATTGTTTGCGAAGCTTTTTGGCTCCAGAGGCACTCGGCAGACGTTGCACGCAGGGAGCCACGGACCGGACACGCCATGGACGTGGAACACGGCGTGCGGGTGCTGGCCGAGCGACCGGCCGAAGATTTTGAGCCCACTGAGGAAGAGGCGAGGACAGCGGTCGGTGAAGAACTTGGTGGAGGTCGGGTCGGTGAAATCCGCTTCTCAACGGGATGAAGGCCCCTCAGAGTCAATCAAGTCTTGAACAAGATGTGTTTGTCAAGAGCATTGTGGTGGCGAGATGGTGATGTATAAGTTGATGTATATAATGTTATATATATATAGTTATATTGTATAATATATGATGTGTGTCCAGCCAGCCAGAGGTTTCACATGGTTTCACCCTGGCGGCATTTGTTGTCGGAAAGGGGTAACATTGGGGAGCGGTCGCGACACAGAGCCTTCAACACGCCGCTGGATGTGCGAATGTAAAGGTAAGCCGCCTCGCTGACCTTTTTTGTTTTCGCAGTGGTTTGGACATATGGCGCAGGAGTTGCCCTGTTTAGCAACCTAAGCCGCGCTTCCACTTGGCATGGGACCCGGGTAACTATTCGTCCCACCTTGTTGAGCTTCAGCTTCAGCCAGGTGAAGAACTATGCTGAGTGGTTGGGATTGGACCCCAAGGCGCATTCAGAAAAGAGAAGCAAAGATGGAAGGGGGGTGATTCTATTGTTGAAAGAGCATGCCTTCCAATCCTTCAGGCATGTACTTCTCTCCTTCAGATCCTGCATATCTAGCCCATGCCTGAAGTTCTGGATGGTGACATATTGAATTGCTGGAAGAGCATGTGTGAAAGGACGATGCAACATAAATGGAGTGCGCTGGCTTGGGCTCTAGAAATAGCACAGGCCTGGGCCTAGTCTAGCCTCAATAGCGCATGGTCCTTGGTTTCTTTGTTCCAGGTCTTCTTGCCGTGAGCAATCTGTGAACTGCGAACCACTCGCAAAGTTGGGGAGTGCTTAAATAAACTTAAGCCATTGAGCGTTCAGTCTGGCGGGGTGTAGTGTACTTGCGTTGGTAGTAGGTGTCACTTGAAGGCGGGTTTCCATTTAAGTACCGCTGGGCACCTCTTCCTCGGCCTTGTTTTTCGGAATGCAGTGGAATGATATTGGATCGGGGCAAGCTGGACTTGGTGCTTCCCATGTTGCAGCCTTTGACGATCCACACAGCAAGGTAACGTGAGACTCAGGTCGACCAGCACAGGGTTTCACTCGGGAAGAACAAGGTGAGATTGTTAGAGACAGTATGTGAGACAATGGTTATCAGCAACCATGGCATTATGAGTCTGTTCTTTCTTGGGCTGTTCTGGTTCTCAGTCCCTCCAGGAGGATGCGGACTTGATGCATTTAGCACGAGAAGGTCTGAAAGCGCCACTTTCAGAAGGTTGGAAGCCTTGCGCCTGGGCCCAGTTGGCAATTTGACGTACAGAGAAAAAAGAGGCGGAGGATTGTACTACCTGGACTTTGGGACCATTGCAATAGTTCAGACAAATGCTTCTTTCACAAAAGCCGTGCCTCGAGTGCATGTGCTTGGTACGGATCCGCTTTGTACCGGAAATCAGGCACCAATGCAGAAAACGAGATTTTCTACTTCAACTTCCAGACAGGTCAACGGCTTAGAACCTTGAATTGCCTCGAATAATTCAGCTTGAGAATACCATGTCTCAGTTGTGCCATGAGACATAGCATGCTTTGATTGCCATAGCTGAATGGTTCGTCAAGGTTTCGTTCAGGTGAATGAATGCAGCATCCTGCCATTTTTGGTATTGGGCTTGGGGGTCTGGATATGTCTAGCAGCCAACCACAACGCTCAATAGTCGACCTTGCAAGTCTGGAGCGTGTTTTGTGGCCTGGAATTGGTAAGGTGCAACATCATGGACGCATCCTGCAGATGAAGAGTACCGAAACAAGGTACAAGATCTGAAGCTTGCCTTTTCATGGTGCCAGTACTGACTTAATGACATGTTAAGGTATATTGCACTATGTCAGACTATGTCGCAATACTATACAAGACTCAAATCCCTTCTGTATGAACTCATGTCCGATTCTGGAAAGAATGACTTTGTCCAGCGGGAAACAGCACTTTTTGACCTTGACTGCGAAATTGTTACGACATGGACGGGCGGTTTCCATACTGTTTGAGAGAAGATGGACTCTTGTGGACCAAACAGCAAGCCTTGCAACATGTAATTAGCACATTTCCTTGTTCAGTGGTGACTATGCAGGCAGTGGTAGGGGCTCAGGTGGGCTTGGATTCCTCTCATCAGTTCTAGAGGGTCAGAGGTGCCTCAGCGACAGACCTTTGCAAGGAGGACAGTTTTATCTAGTTGCATGTTCAACAAGCCTGCCATGTGGGCACCGCTCGAGGTGAGTGTGAAATGCTCAATAAATGCTCACCCACGAGACTCAAAACAACTGAGAATTGTGTCCTTTATTTGCTGCGCAACCAGCAGCAAGTCCCGATCGCACTTTCCACCGTATCCAGCAGCAGGGAACATCAAGTAACCAGATGTTGCATGTTGCAGTTTTTTGTGCCTGCAAAATTAAAATGCAAGAAGAACTATATATCTTCAGGTATCTTCGGGTATTGTGTTTGGAGACGGTCTTTCAAAAGCCCAACCAGTTCAACAGCCGATTACTGTAGATCCTTAGCAATTCCTTTGTGAGTTGCCCTTTGCAGTCTGAGGAAAAATGCGAGAAATGGGAAGCCAAATCTCCAGAACATTGTGCATGCGCCGTACAGCGGAGTCGGCCACAGACCCGTGCTGGGTCAATCCTTGGGCATTTGCGATTTCCTGAGAAGGATTCTTTGTTGTCGCCGTCGTGCACGAGTGCATTGCCACTGAGAGCGGGTGGCAGATAAGGTGCCGTTTGATTCATGTATACAGTATTCTCACAGGGCTTGCGGGGCCCGACAGAGTCGACATTCTTGGGCCAACTGGCCAAGAAGGGCATGGGATTAAGACGATTTAAGACTAGAGTATTCTTTTTGAAGGATGTCGTTGTTCTCGGCTTCGCAGGCAGCTGGAGTAGGTAGATTGACTGAGCAGTGCCAAATTGTAATTCTGCCTAAGGCGGGTATTTTTGGCCACTGTTCTCAACAGTTGCAACGAACTTGCAACGATTCCAAGTATGCGCAGTGTTGAACGGGCAGTGCATGTGAGCCATTGCCAAAGTATGAGAAGTAGTTTTGTCAAAATATTACAGTATGCTATTATATGCTAACAAAAGATATTTTTATTGTTCTTTCTTACAATTTGGTCTTTCTGGTGTGTTTTCAGGATCCTAGCAGCAGCGCTAGTGCTTCCTTTGGCTGCTTCAGGCAACGAGTATTGCTTGGCCTTGAGGAGTCGACTGCGAGCTGCGTTGACAATGCCTACCGGCTAGCCGTGCCCCATACTTTGCCCCAAGGTGTTAAAGACGCGGGCAGGTGGTGCTGTTTTTGGAACACGTCAAAGAACAGCAAGACGGGAGAAGAATCTGGACTTTCATCCTGTTCATGTCCAGCCTGACTTTCGTTTCAGCTTGGTTTTTCCCAAGCAGGTCGTGTGAGTCACGGGCGAAACTGCACAACCGACAGTCCCAACTTTGATTGGCTGCTACATTTTCCTGTGTTAGCATTCAAGGAAAACATCATTCCAGCAGCCATTCAGTGGCTGGACTACACAAACATGTGACAAAGCATTGCCTCATGAACCCTGGTTGGTGAACATGTTCCTTTCTTCACGCGTTCACGCGTGACAGGTTTGAATACAGACAGTTCAGTGCAGAGGGGTGCATCGTAGATGTTTGTCGGAGATTGAATCCATGCTCCTTGATGGCGGGTGTGAGGAGCCCAAGCGAGATGCGAGCTCATTGAGATCAGAATCGATCAGAATATTTTAGATAAATTTCGTGGGCTGGACTACATTATTTGTGGCCGACTATGCTTAGAACATCTTAGAACAAGAAAGGTAACTATGTTTCAACGCAAGAACTACTGTATCAAGAACTATTGGATCTATGACCCTCCGGAAGGTCTTTGTTGAAGATTTGGATGCTTTGCATGTTGTGCGTATGAGTTTCGACTTGTTGATTTGAGAGCTAGGACGCCCTGTAATGTAGAATGGATGTTGCAGACTGCGTTCACAACTTGATGTCCTTTTACATTGCTTTGTGTGCTAGAGGGATACTTGTCACGTGTGGTTGCTGACTGTGTTTTTTTTTGACATGTGTACTTTCGAGATGGTCTTTCGCGGCCTAGGTGGTCTCACTTTTCATTCTGAATCGTGCTTTCCTCAGGGAACTGAGGATCCGCATCACATGGAGCGGACTGAGCTGACCGACTTTCTGGCCAGAAATGATCCGATAGCCATGGCGGATGGCGACTTGAAGAGTAGCAACAACCGATCAAGAAAGCAAGGACATGCAAGCACCATTGTGGTTTGCTGTAGACTTTGCAATTCTTTGTTGCTTTGCAGGGAATGGATCCTTGATCTACAGCCTAGAGACTCAAGTGAGGGCCCTGGAAAATTACTACACGGATTTGGACGGATTATGTTGAAGAAAAAAACACTCATTGAAGGAGCGGAATAACGATCTTGGTACCCAGGATGCTGGTGGATACTGAACAAGCTTGAAGTCAATTTCCACTATCAGGATGACGATGTTTGCATGGGAATGAAAAGATGGGGCTGTCTTGCTTTGTCGCAGGGGTCCAGCCAACTGTCCTCCAACGACAAGATCCGCTTGTCTTCAACCTTTCACGGTTTGGGAGCCAAGAGAGCAGTGACGCAATCCGAACCCAGAAAAAACAAATACAATCAAAAGGAGAGGGGGAAGTTCTGCAAAAGCTTGGTGGGTAAGGTGCCACCGTGAATACAGCACCTCTCCCGCTTAGCCAACGGATCATGTGATGGGCACTTGACACGGTGCTTCATGAAGATGATTGTGCAGACACACTTAGACAATGGTTTATTCAACGCCAGAATCCACAGGGAAAGGAATCAGGGAAACGCAAGGTGAAAAAGTCAGCGCACTTGAAATGTTTAACATGTTGTTTCGCATTAGCCCTTTACTGAATACTTAGCACTTAGCGGTCTGTAATTACGTGCAATAGTTAGGGAGCGAAGCCGCCCAGGTAGAGTAGACTAGAGGAGGGACAGAAGGAAGGCACCGACCCACAGTGTGTCAAGTACCATTTCCTTCTGTTACCTTGAGCAGAAGTCGGGGTACGTGGAAATGGTGTCCCATTTCCATTTCCTCGGATACACCGTCAGCTTCGTTGACCAGGCGACGATGTTTCCTGCCTGGTCCGCTGCTGATAGTGCTTAAACGTATTAAAATAAATTCCTGGATACGGAGTGCGGCACACAAGGTGCTGCAGTGCGGCGCTCGCTCCAAAATTGCCGGCTAACAAGCCTCAAAAAGAAAAGGAAAAGAAAAAGAGCAAGACAAAGAGGGCAAGAGAGAAAGATACTTGTAGGTGTAGAGGCGTGCATGTCTGCCGCACGAGTGGCAAATTACGGAGTCAAAGCCTGAATAGCCACCTGACAAGCCTTAGGAAAGGAAGACAGAAAGAGCAAGCCGAAAAGGGCAAGAGAAAAGATAGGTGTAGCAAAAAAGTGCGGGACCGAGGGGCAGGGAAACGAGCCTCAAGAACAACCTAACGAGCCTGAAGAAGCACCTAACAAACGAAGAAGCCGCAAGAAAGAAAGACGGGGGAGGGGAGGGGTTGGGGGGTTATTCTCCGTATGCTCGGCAGCTTGATAACCGTAAGCTCGGCAGCTTTGTTGTCTGTTGATTCATGGGCGAAAGACAATTTCAGTGAACCATAATCCACGAATGCAGAAACCCGGTGTCAAAAAGTGATGCATGGTGGCATAAGCGCCTCTCTTGCGAGAGGATCACACTGTGCACCCGAATGGGAAAACACAGCGAATCACACTTAGACAATGGTTTATTCAACGCCACAATCCGGAAAGGAATGAGGGATGTTTAATATGACTTAACATGTTGTTTCGCATTAGCCCTTTACTGAATACTTAGCACTTAGCGGTCTGTAATTACGTGCAATAGTTAGGGAGCGAAGCCGTTCGGGTAGAGTAGACTAGAGAAGGGACAGAAGGAAAGGCACCGACCCACAGTGTGTCAAGTACCATTTCCTTCTTTTACCTTGAGCAGAAGTGGGGGTACGTGGAAATGGTGTCCCATTTCCATTTCCTCGGATACACCGTCAGCTTCGTTGACCAGGCGATGATGTATCCTGCCTGGTCCCCTGCTGATAGTGTTTAAGATAATATGTTCCTGGATACGGAGTGCGACAGACACACACCGTATATCTACGCCTACGCCGTGGATCCTGTTTTGATGACTGACTTAGCCAGTTAGCTCATTCAGTACATCCGGAACACAACCAATGTTCGTTGTCAAGAACTTAACTTTATGGAATCCCGGCCTTTGAAACAACTGAGGCATCAGCGCGATTGCCGCCCAGATCTCACCTGTCAAAAGAAGTGGAGGCTGAAACCTCGAAGAGTTCGGGTTGGTTGTATTTATACGGTATGTATATATATATATATATATCTTAATATTGTATATCTAGATGTTTCGACTCGACTAAAATAAACTGTTGTTGGATAGAGGCCACGACGAAGAAATGATTGTAACACCCACTGTGCGAAGGACCAACTGCTTCAATTTGTTGCAATAGTGCCTACCGGAAAAGGAGTAGCAAGGCCGACATTCATCCAACTCGCTGTCAAGTCTGTCGCAGGCCCATTCAGTTTTTTGCAGACAACTGGCATCCGGACACTCGACGCTGACACGTGGCTTGGCTGGGCCTGGCAGAAACCACTATGATTTTCCACACCGATATATGCATATACGGCTAAGTAGTTTTCGTATGTGTTCGTTTTATTTGAGGGGGGGTCATGGGAAAGGGTATCAGATCAAGGGTGACACCAATCAACGGGTCCATTTTCGTTCTTACAAGGTTTTTTGGGGAGGTCTCCCTATTTCAATACATACCCATATTATAAGTTCCTGAATCATTCGATCGGATAGACCACGAATGAGGATGATGGATGATGGCAACGCAAACTGGGTGCAGGGTTTCCTCAGCTTCCTTTTTGCGATGGCCTCGCAACATCCGCAAAAGTGCTTTGAGCGGAGCCACCAGTGCCATCCGGTGTTTTGCAGACGTGTGCCAATACACCAAGGTTCCGATTACAATGCTTCCACACGGCCACCGGTGTGAAAATTTTTTGTGTCATGCTGCCGTCGGGGGCCACAGACACGATCTCCTGGATGTGACTAATCAGGCAATATGAATCATGTTAACTATTTCGTTCGCTGGGTGTTCTGGACACAAGTTTGTCTAGCTTCGAGCCATCCAATGATAAGCTGACCATTCTCATCCAACGCTCCTTCTTCAGGCCCTATGTGGATGCTGATATACTTTTACGGCAGGCCTGAGTTTCAAGCTACACGTTGAGGGCTGACTGGAATTGGATGGAAAAAAGGCGAAGCTGTGAGGGTGTGAGGTCGGTCGTGTTGCGAAACGTCAGTGTTTGAGCGGTTGTAGATGCTGTGAGATGTTGGGGCATGGAGGTCTATAGTCACTACAGCGACTATGTGCGACTTGGATTTCAATGGTTATATGTTTACCTTTTGCACGTGATTGACTTGGATTCCAGCAGGAGTTACACCACGTTACGCTGAGGTTGAAGAATCCATTCTACGAACTCGACATGCCAAACGCTCAGAGTCAGCTGCATAACTGGCATAGCCGGAACATTGACAGTTTTCACAACTAGAGCAGATGTTCTTTGCACAAACCTTCAAACATTGGTCTCAGATCAGCAGTCATGTGCTTATGTTCCGATTCCGATTTCCAATTTTCAACCACTCATCCAGAAGATCCAGAAGATTTCAGTCATCCAACTTTGGAGATGTTCAAAACAT